CTAAACGCATAATAGCCCTTCAAAATTTGTTAGCACTCTATCAAAACATCAAGGTCAAATCTTAATAAATTCCCACGTGTATACTTCCTCAAATAAACGAATAATTCCAAAAATATCCGATAATAAATCCAAATAATACAATTAATGACTATAATATCCTCCTTCTTTCTTTATAACAGGCCTCCGTCATTATATCCTTCTCGCTTTAAAACCTTCAGATTGAAAAAAAAAGGAATTCTTAAAAAGTTTCGAAATTTGGAAAAAAAATGGGGCCCATGGTGGTACGTTTGGTGAGCAGCTTATCGATATTGTTCCGACGTCGCCGGAGTGTCTCATGGCGAGTCCGTGGTTCGTGAAGGTCCTCGCGGAGCTCGCGAAACGTCGGCGTCGCCATTACCAAACTTGGCGGGAAATCCGCATTCGTTGGCAAGGTACTAGCTTTTTATTTTTTATTTTCCCTCCCTACTGTTTCGATGTTTTGTCTGGATCGGATCTGGTCACCGCCGGTGAATCGTCGAGATCTGTTACCGTAGTTGTCTGATCGTCGAGTGGCGACAAGACGCCGAGATCTCTCCGTTGTTTGTTTCTTGAAATTTGACATTTTCCTTGAGTTGTTGTGTGGGTAGAAACGTAATTTTTTTTGAAGTCAAAGGAGATGGAAAGCGATTTGATTCGATTTGATTTTTTCTAATGCAAATTTAAGGGATTTGTGGGTGATCTGAGATCACGTGATTTGTGCAATGCGGTATGTATCAAATCAGGGGAACATCTGATCAATTTACATATTTCTGGAGATTTATTGGCTAAAATGTGTTTTTTAATTAAAAACAAAGGGAACTGTTTGCTTTCTAGATCTGGCAAAAGGATCATTGTGGTTATTATAATACCGAATGACCTGTTTTTGCCTTTTTGGGAAAGGTTGAGGTTGGCTAAGAATTACATTTATCTCCAGATGGGCATCCTTGTTGTGGCCCCAGTTAATTAAAATACTAGATTGAGTGATGAAATAAACCTATGGGCCCAGCCGCCCAGTGCAAATTATTTTCTCACCAACTTAAGGGTTTTTTTTTTTTAAATAAATCATTAGGCTGATGTACATGTGTGCTGCATGTAAAAATACCTATATAAATGATAATATTTTCTTTTTCATAATATTGATAAAATGTAACGGGTCCCTTTGTTGGTGATTACAGCAAGTCTACCTGTGTTGATGCGCAAATAAAAACTTATTCAAGCAAAATAGAGTTATACTTTTAGATCCCAGACATTAGTTCAAATTATTCATTGTGGCAAAGGCTTCAGTTTTGTTCCTTTCTATGCAGACATAAGCAGATGAGCTATTGAAGTTGACCGAAAATATAATTTCTAATGTCCAATGTTTTCAATATTTCTAATATAAAATGCCCACTAGATGTTAGTGAATTCTTTTCTTTGTTTCTACACAAAAGTATTTAATTCAGGAGGACATAAGTTTTATCTCGTTTCTAAACTAAAAGAGCAAAATGAGAATGGATGCTCCTTTATTTAGCCTCTCTTCCTTTACTCATAGGCTGTAATCTTCCTTTATGATTATTTTTTGGGGGAAAAGGCAACAAAATTAACCGAGTTTCCTTCTATTTTATATATTTATATTTGATTGTTGTTCTGGAATTTAAAATCACCTGGTAAGGGGATGTATGATTTTTAAAATACATTTTCTTTAAATGGATTTCAGTTAGAACTTTTCAAATTAGAATAGAACAATTGCTGCAATGGGATAATATTATAAAAGAATGATAATTTAGAAGTATAATGGATAATAACTTTATGGAGGCATGTGGGACAGTTTAAGATAATCAAAATTTATAGTTTATTCATTTTGATGTGATACCTTAATGTATCAATCTTCTGATTAGTAAAAAAAGAAACAAATTCAAGTATGAACTCTCTGTAGAGCATGAGGCTATAAGAATTGCATTATTAAGTAGAGAAAAAATAAATAAAATAAAAATCCATGCAAGTTTTCATTCAAACCATGAAAGTTTTCACAGCTTAAAACCATGATGATTATCTTTAGAAGTTCAACAATACATGCAATATGCATCTTTTCTTATCAACATCTCAAAATAAATATAACTAGTTACTTATGGAAAACTCAAATTTATACCACTAAAGTCTCTCTTTTACTTCTTCGCACACTTTTTTGCACTTCTAAGTATTTTGATCCCTCGCTTGTACATGTTGTTGAGTTGGTAGAGGAAGCATCCAAAAATGGAAAATATTTTAGGGTGAGTCTCTATTATATTGAAATGTCAAACATCTCCATTTCTCATTCATTAAATGGTTGTTTTGAACTTTAGCCCTTCCAAATTAAATAAAATGGAATTTATTTTTCCTCGGAGTGATGTTCCCCCCTCTTTGCCCCGTGCAGAGCCTATTACTTGAGCAACCTTCTTTTCTCTTTGACTCACTACTAATATGCTTTATTTGCAATAACCAAATCCTAAACAATTAGTTTAATGACTGCAGTTTGGTGATGATGAGTTTGGTCACATGTTGGCTGACATCTTGAGGAAGAATGGTGTAGAGGACGAAGGCGTGCTATTTGACAAACATGCTCGAACTGCCCTCGCCTTTGTAACTCTGAAGAGCAACGGGGAGAGGGAGTTCATGTTCTACAGAAATCCCAGTGCTGACATGCTGCTAACTGAATCAGAGATCAACTTAAATCTTATTCGCCGTGCAAAGATCTTCCATTATGGCTCCATCAGTCTCATCGCTGCTAAGGAGGCTGGCATCCTCTTGTCGTATGACCCTAATGTTAGGCTTCCATTGTGGCCATCAGAAGATGCTGCTCGAGATGGCATTAAAAGCATTTGGAATGAGGCCGATTTCATTAAGGTAATGTTTAGATTGAATTTAGTAGTGTAAGTTCTGTTTCTGATTCCTTAGAGAACATACCCATTAGGTTATGCTGGCTAAAAATGTAACGGGAGACAGAAGTAAAGAACATTGTGAAATTGTTACATATTATGGTGCTAAGTTGATTAATATTTTCCGGATATCGTAAGACCAAGTGTGCAAACCTAGGATACCAATCCTTAATTAATACTTGATTAAAAAAAGTGGAAAATAAATAAAGGACTGGATTTTTATGAGCAATTGACCAAATCTTTTTTAGGTTGGATCATCGAAACAGAAGGCAATGAAAGGAATTGGTTGAACCCCATCTATATTTCTTGAGCTTTTTATTAATATTCATCACTTATATTAACAGTTTATTGGTGTCTGAATATTCTGGTTGTGAAAAAACTTGGGAAGAATGAATGAAACAGTTAAAACCCTTTATTGATGTTTCCTTCTTTAACCTGTGGGTAATCGTTTGACACAAATAAAGGAAAATCCAAGAATATTAATATAATTAACCTTGAGGCATGGTAGGTTAGTGATGATGAAGTGGCTTTCTTGACGAAGGGAGATCCAACAAAGGAGGATGTTGTCTTGTCTTTGTGGTTTGAAGGCTTAAAGCTGCTTATTGTTACTGATGGAGAAAAGGGATGCAGATACTTCACTAAGGTTCCTTCTTATCTCAATAATTGTACTGCCTTTTTTAACCACATGCAATTTCTTTTGGCGAATAAGGTGCAGCCTCATCTGAGTGCTTCTTACCCGAATGCAAAGATGTTCATCTCTTTCTATCTTTGCAATTTGTCTATGCTCCTCTTTAGGCAGCACTAGAACACAAATATGTCCATCTTATACTAAATTGTGTTAAGTAAACTCTCAAGGAATCCATCCTTATAAAATAAATTTGGCAAGTAATTATATTAATCCTACAATTAAATTATGTATGTCTCTGTGTGTGTGTGTATTGAAT